TCAACTCCAGGAATTCTGGGAGTTGAAGTCCACAAGTCTTAAAGTTGCCAAGGTTGAAGACCCCTGTTTTAGATGGCTCATGCTGGCCCTATGGAGATGATGGAGATCAGTCTTGTCTGGCTATCTGATGGAATTTGATTTGATTACACTTGAGGAAGTAAACAGGGTCCTTAGATTGCTGAATCCTGTGTATTAGATCCATGTCCTCCTGGATAATGAGATTTTCCTGGAAATAACAAGCAGCAGGGTTCAAGTGGGGTAAGAAGAGGGAGGGGGTTCAGCCTGCTCTTAGGAAATCAGTGGCTTCTCCTCAAGATGCCATTACTGGGACAAGCTTTACCTGACAATATTCATCCACTTCCAACCTTGCATTTTGGAAAAGCTCACGGAAAAGATTGCTGGCCTTATTGCTGTCAGGGTTCATGCTTGAATAGAGCTCCAAGGCAATTGATTGAATTTGTGGATGATCTCTGATGACTTGGGAAATACAGTATAAAGCAATCATGTTGTTGCTTGAGAAAGAAAAATCCTAGATCTATACAAGCCATGGAAGAAGAAATAGCGTATGAATCCTTGATACAAGCCATGAGGCTCAATTCCCATTATGTCTATTAATTGTATTACTTTTGCACATGACATGAAAGATTATCTATGTGGTTTTTTTTTAAAAAAAGTTTTTAAATATGAAATATGATTTGAATATGGTTTTCTGATATGGACAAAATGAAACCAAGAATCAGTTAAGGCAGGGAATTTGAAAAATTGCTTCTCTTCATATAAAATATGACCATGAGTGGCAGGAGTTTTGAGGACTGCTGTTGGAACAATACGTTTTAACCAGATTAGGTACAAGAAAGCCCACCAGAGGCTCAGTGCAGCTTCTTTAGAGCTGTCAAACAGCAAAAAAACAACAACAACAAAAACCCCTAATAAAATGTCAAAAAAAAGTATATGGATGATCTGAAGCTTTGTGGATAATCAGAAATTGAAATCCAGCCATTGACAAACACTGTAACAATTTTTAGCACTGGAATTTGGTCTTGAAAAAATACGCTATATTATCAATAAATTGGGGTAAAATAATCAATTTTAAATGCCAAGTGACCATTCCATTAGGAACCATCTGGATGAAGCCTACACATAATTAGGCATTTTGCAGTTGGATAAGATCAAATATGGAAAAACTGTGAACAAAGAACACATCCAAAGATTGAAAACATAGCTTAAGACAAAAATGAGTGGTGAGAATACCATCAAAGCCATCAGTAACTTGCCCATACCCTTAATATGATACACTCTTGGAATTATTAACTGGACAGAATCTGAACTGGATAGTTTATACTAAAAAAACTGATAACTATTCACTATGTAGTATTCCTCCATAGTGATATTGCTGGGTTACACTTGCCCTGTAGAAATGTACACAGAAGTTTACTTTAAGTGAAACAAACTGTTGAAGAAAAGAATGCATTGGTTGATTATGTAAAAGAAAGCTAAGAACAAACATTGATGCAGTTTAAAAATTGGAATTTACTGAATGCATCAGAAACAAAATATGAATACTGAAATAATGCTGTAAATCAGAGGTGTCAAACAATTTTATTGAGGTTGCATTTGACCTCGGTGGCCAGGGGGGGGGGTTGCTTATGGTAGGCATTTGACAAAGGCTCAAGGTGTGCTTTTTCCCTTCTCTTCTTTCCATGCCAATGGCCATTTTTGGCCGGCAGACTGCTTCTGAAGACCAGGGAGGCCAAAAATGGGCCTCCTAGGGGCTCTCCAGGGCCTCTGCATGGCCCGTTTTTGGCTGTCCGAAGCACCGCTGGGTAGTCCTTTGATATTTCCAATCTTGTGGGCCAAATTTAAGCACCTCATAGTCCGAATCCGGCCTGCTGGCCTTGAGTTTGATGCCCCTGACGTAAACCAAGAACAGAATACTGGCAAGGAAAAGAATTACCTGGTCATTTTCTACAAAAGAAAGGGAAAATGGATACAGATAAAACCTGGCAATGGCTGACAACTGGAGCATTAAAAAAAGAAACTGGAGGCTTGATTTTGGCTACTGGAGAGCAAGCTATTGAACCAATTCAGTCGAGGCCAGATTTTTTTTAAAAAATCATCAAATGATCCGAAGTGCAGATTATTAAAGAAACAGAAGAACCAATAAATCATATATTTGGCTCATTGCAAGAAGATTACACAAGCTAATTATAAACAATGACATAACCCAGTTGCCAAAATGATTCACTGGAACATCTGTAAAATGTAATGAAAATTGGTAGGAACGTACAGTTGAAAAAGTGGTTAAAAATGTGCAGACTGTAATACAGTATAACCTGATAAAGTCTTGGCTCATAACAAATGAGATTGAAATGTGATTGAAAAGAAGAATGTGCGGATAATTGATGTGGCAATGCTAGGGGATAGTAGTATAGAAGTATAGTGGTATAGAAGACAAAGAATTGGAGAAAGTCCCAAAGATCTGAACATCAAAGTTAAAAGATTATGACGTAAACTGCCTATGGTAACCCCATTTGCACACTGGATGAAAAATTCTTGGACAGCACTTAAACAATCTGCATATTGACAAAGTTTCCTTCTGTCAATTGCAAAAGACCACACTGCTGAGATCCATGCATATTTTACTTTGATACATTATGACCTCCTAGATTTTTGGGGTGAACTTGTTGCATATGAAGGCCAATTGCACTAAAGAACTGACAGCTGTAACTTCATGTTATTTCTATAATAATAAACAAGTAATCCTCAACTAACAACCATTCATTTAGTGACCCTACAAAATTACAACGGCACTAAAAAAAGTGACTTATGACCAGTGGTGGTATTCTACCAGTTCGGCCTGGTTCTGGCGAGCCAGTAGCAGCAATGAGCAGTGGAGACTGAACCGGTTCTCTCCACCGCTCTGCTGTTGGGCCCACCCGCCCACCTGGGCTCCCATACTCACCTTTATCCCCTGAATTTGAAGCGCAGCTGCTTTGCGCAGCACAGAACAGTGTCACACGGCAGCTGCTGAAGTGACCGACATTGTGCAGGCTTGCAGGAGGCGCATTTGGCACGCGTGTGCACGCAAAGCGCGGCCACCAAGTGACACCCACCAAACCAGTGGCAAAAATATTTAAATCCCACCACTGCTTATAACCAGGGGTGGAATTCAAATTTTTAACAACCGGTTCTGTGGGCGTGGCTTAGGTGGTGGGCTTGGCTTGATGGTCATGTGACTGGGTGGGCATGGCTTGGTGGTCATGTTATTGGCTGGGCGTGGCCAACTCAATATCACTCACATCGAGACACGCCTGGCCTCTCATGACTGTGGGGATGCTGCAACTGTTGTAAGTGTGAAAAATCGTCATAAGTCACTTTTTTCTGTGCCATTGTAACTTTGAATGGTCACTCCACACAAGCAAAGTGCCAGCAAAGGAGGAAAAAAACCTCCAGAGAAGTTCCTGAGACAGGAAGTCTAGTCCTGCCAAGAATGTAACGAGGGTTAACGGAGAGGCAGTTTCTCTAAGCAACACCAGAATGTTTCCTTCCTGCCTTCCTTACAGGATTAGGACAGTAATTTCTTCTAACAACCGGTTCTGCGAACTGCTTAGAATGTTAACAACCGGTTCTAGCGAATAGGTGCGAACTGGTAGAATCCCACCCCTGCTTATAACCTATTTTCACACTTGCGACCATTGTAGCATCTCCATGGTCCACATGATCAAAATTCAGATGCTTGGCAACTGGCATGTATTTATGACAGTTGCACAATCCTAGGATCAAATGATCATCAACTCACCTTCCCAACTGGCTTCCAACAAACAGAGTCAATGGGGGAAGCTAGATTTGCTTAACAACCACATGATTCACCTAACTGCAGTGATTCATTTACCAATGGGGCAAAAAAGGATCATACAATGGGGCAAAACTCCCTTAACAACTCCCTTGCCCGGCAATGGAAATGTTGGCCCCAATTGTGGTAGTAATTGAGGACTACCTGTAATAATTTCTACATTTAAACATTGTAATGTCAGGGATCCCGAAGCTTCAGAATGACTTTGAGGGCTTTGTGAGAACTGTAGATTTGCCATGTTGGGCTTAAGACCTGCTTTATGGCTCTTCTTTATGTTCCTCCATCTAGAAAAGCTGGGTTGGTCAAACACAAAATAAAGTTTGATTTGTGGTCAGTTCTGGAACTTTCTTTCTAAGACTGGACTAAGTTCTTCTTTGTTTATTTTTAGGTGAATGATAAAAAGGTGAATTATAAAAATAAGACGGATTATTTCTTCTGACTTCTGAGTGTCCTTTTTAATTATGACTTTGAAGTACTTAATTTTGGCACTTTGCAAATATGTAAATAGTATTAGATTCTGTAAATAATATTAGTGTCAACTCATAAACCATTCCTATGCCTGTTTTAGTAGTTGCCATAAAAAAAGAGGAGGGGAGGAAGGAAATCTGGAAGAGCAGTTGAAAACAAAAGTACATTCCAAATCTTATCTTTAAAAGATTGTAACTAAAATACCGGAGTTTTGCAACGTGAATGATGACACCCAGCCTGTGAATGTGCTCATTTGGAGAATCTGGTTTATGAGACACCCAGGGGGCTGCGGAAACAGGGTCACAGGTGACTGTAATTATGTATGCCAGAGTTGGCTTCATACAGGGTAGTGCCAGTACATTGCCTCTAATGAATCCTTTGAAGTTTTTTGAAGTTTGGCTCCAGAATGATGATTTAATTAGAGCGATGGCTGGAATCCTGACAATTAGATTCTGTGTCACACTGGCTTCTCTTTGGGTGGAAAGATGATTCAGAAATAAATTTATAAATTAATTGAAAATCCCTATGGATTCTCAATGAGTTTGTGAGAGCAGTGTTCATAATATGGCCACACAGCAGCACTTTTTAGTATTCATACATTTCCATCAGCTTAAAGCATTTTACTAGTACTAAGTTACAGAAACATAATTGCTATGCTAATGGCACCTTTCTCTTTCAGCAATGTTGTGACTGCTGCATGCTGGGCCAACAAGTAAAAAATGAGGGTCAAACTTGTGAGTCGAACCCAAATCTTGGCTATCCTTGCAACCATGTGATGCTTTCCTGTTGTGATGGAGAAGACCATCTTATCTCTCCAGAACTGAAAAGACAGCCTGAACCATTGTCAACAGTGACACCTGAAAAATGTAAGAGTGTTATTATTGTCTACAACAGGGGAAGGCAATTAATTTTTCCAATAGGCCACATGGGAAATTGGGACTATTGTGGAGGACCGAACCAATAGGCTGAAATTGGCCCCCATATGTTGAGGGAGAAGGAAATGAGGAGCCTCACCTCAAATCACCTCACCTAGGCCTGACTGCCATTTTCTTCTACTGCAGATGCAGAAAAGTTCTTTCTTTTTTTTCACATTATTAAAAATAGTCAAGCTTGAAGGTACACAAAATACTGTATTTGTCACCAAAGCAACCTGTTTTTTTGGCAAATCAGATCCAAAAGTACAGATGACATTTAACTTCTATAGCAATGTTTCTTTGTGAAAATTTTTATTCTATTTTTATTTCTTCTAAATGGTTATTGAAAGACACTTATGGAGAGGCCAGCAAGTTTTTAACACAAAAGTCAGGGCAATATATATAATCCCATGTGTTTCATGATGCAGTTGTTATCCTATATCATACGCTGCCCATATAGCCTAGGCAGTTTGCTAAGGTTGGATTCTTCATTATTTTTCTTTCCTAGAATATATACATCAAATGGAACAAATCTTACATAAATGCAAGATGTTTGTATCTCTCTTTTTCAATACATTCATTAAATGGCAGCTTTGAATTTTATAATAACAAAATCATAAAGAACAAAAACACATCTCGAAAAATATACAATCTTCCAAAGAAGACCCAGGTCTTTTTCATTATTATACACCCAGGTCTTTTTCATTATTAATTAGAAAATGATGCAGGTGCCTGCATAATCAAAAAGAGTATTAAAGTTAAAGCGTATCTTATCACCATGCATGATATACTTTTCTTGTTAAACAGAAAGATGTTCAATTAGTTTGTAAAGCTAGATACTATAAAAATATATCTCCAATATGCTCAGATACAATAGTATTTTAAAAAGTGCTTAAATGCATCTTGCTATACTGAACGTATGGAAAAACCTATCATAGGACAGGTATGGATAGTATATTTTTTATAGTGTAGTCACTAACTTGGAATTAATGGTGCAGAACAATATATATTTTAAGGTGTCATTTTTATCATAAAATAAATCTAAATTTAAGAAACATACTTTCCTTGGTACAGTTGAAAGAAGAAAGGGGAATTCTGCATAACATCCATCACTTATGGATAGTGAGCCTATTACAGAAGAAATCCATAGCAGCATATTGGCATGCTGGCTATATCAAATTATTTTCCCCACTTTGAGGATGCTATAATCCTTGATCCACCTGGCTTTTAGACTCAGCGGCTGGCATTTTACAATATTGTAATATTTGTTACATGACTACAACATAGCCATAGAAGTTCTTATGAAGTCAATAGAACCTTCCATGTAGAGCCTCTCAGACTGTCCTCAGTTGAGAGCTGACCTGCTATTTCTAGTAACTGCAGCCAATTTCTTTCCTGACTGGACATAGCAACAAATGCATACAAATAAAGAATATTTTAATTACTCAACCCATGGGGAAAATACACATTTGCTTTATCCATGGATCTGAGTCACCAATGCTTTATTTCTGGGATGAATAAGTGGAAAGATGTAATTATTTTATGTCAAATTACATCCACTATGATAAATGATAGATGTAGTCTTTTCAATAGTTACAGCAGAAGCTTAGAACATGCCCATTTTTCCTGTAAAGGCTATATGGGCATAATTAAATTATTTTACATGAATGTTCCATAAATTATATTTCTAGAGGTAGACAATAATTAATGAAGTACATTATTGTTTTTGACACTTAATTAGGTTTTAAATAAAATAGGACCCAGTCATGTAATATAGGAAAATTATTCCAGAAATAATATAGCAGAAAGAATTATGCATTTTATTTTTTAAAGAGAATGAGCTAGCATATAGAAACTCTGGAAGGTTTAAAATAAAGTTACTTTAAATGTGTGGTGTCATTTTCATGGTAAATATACCTACTAACAAAATAAGCTGCTACATGAATGTGATGAAATTCAAGAAAAGGAAGTCAGTGATGCTATGGAAAGTCAGAGGTACATGAAAGAAAAGTAGAGTCATTGCAGTTTTGAAAAAAAACACCAGCTATGCTGAAGTTTTTTTCCTTTTATATACCAGACTTGGTAGATTAACTATAAATATGCACATTGTCTGCAGAGGTGGTATTTAACAGGTTCTCACCAGTTCTGGAGAACTGGTAGCGGAAATTTTGAGTAGTTCGGAAAATGGGCAAATACCACCTCTGACTGGAGATTTTACAGTATCCTTCCTCTGCCATGCCCACCAAGCCACGCCCACAGAACCGGTAGTAAAAAAAATTGACTCCCACCACAAGATTTTTTTAAAAGTAGTTTGCCATTGTCTCCTTCCTAGGGCTGAGAAAAAGTGACTGGCTTAAAGTCCTGTCTTCCCCTCCCAAACTGGTTTTGTGTCTAAGGTGGAATGGAAATCCTTGTGTCTAGCCTGGTGCTTCAACCACTGCACCAAGCTGGCTTTTATATGGAGCATGGTGGAAATAATTTCATCCCTAGCTCTTTCCCATTCCCTTTTTGTATTGCAGTATTTTTATTCCTATATCACCGTCCCTCAAATTAAGGGATAATCCAGAAGATCATATGACCTGCCCAGAGGAATTGCATCTAAGGAGAAACCTCTGGTGGCAGTCATCCAGATCTTTGTGGGAGCTATCTGAAGTGGGAAGATATCAGCTAAGTAGTAGACTCCTATAGAAACTGGATAGGAATCTGAGCAGAAATGACTTCTGCTTATGCTATAATGTCATTTTAAGACAAGACATGATTTTTGCTATATATCATTGAATAGAGACAGGCATCCAAACTCCAAGAAACAAGATTTCATTAGATTCCTCTTGCTTCAACTTTCTTTTAAAACATATTGAATATTTTTTATCCCAGTCTCAAAAAATTCATTTTTCCCTCCAACCCTTCTATTTTTTCATAAATTAACTATGAAATTTAAGGAACACCACAAACCCAAAGCACAACAACAAAAAAGTAGAGCAGTAAAAGTATTCAAGCAGGAATTCCATTAGGAGCAAATTTAGCTGTTCAGTTTCCACTGGACTTCTCAGTGGCTTAGATGTTTGCATCAAATGAAATCTGATAGGGTTCATTTTTCCCTAATTAAAAATCTGCAAACACTCTCCAATTAAATTAGACTGAACTAAATTAAATTAAATTAAAACATGGCAATTGAAAGTTGCATGCAAACAGCATCCATTATGTATTTTTAAAAGCTAAGGTAGTAAAAGAGTATTGGCTGAAAGTATGAACTGTGATCTATATTGTAATTGCTTATCTGGAACTTAGTCCAGATACCTACATGGATAAGTTCAGAATCCTTCTGCTGGTTCACCAGCAAATGGAACTTGCCTGGATTAGAAGTGATGAAAAACAGGACCTTTTTGTTAGTTGTGTTGTATTTGCCCTGGGATGCCTTCTCCTTATATCAGAAATGCAAGCATTATTTTTATTCTGTTGCTTATTGCTTGTTAATATTGCTTTGATTTATTCAATGCTTTGGGGGTGACTGACCTAACCCTAACTCTAACCCTAACCTTCACCCTAGGCAAAAACACTCCCTTGTGGATTCTTTGGGGTAAATGGTGGTCTAGAAAAATTAGTAAGTTGTCATGTTACTCAATTTTTTAAAAGAGCCCTTTTCTGTTTCTAATAATAAGCCAGGTAGCTTTTGACATGAAGTCATAAGAATGACTTTTGAGCAGAAGGAACAGTGCTGGATTAACCTTGGGTTTTTACGTGTGGGTCCCTCTATTTCATATTCTTCATGTTTTGAGCATTTTAAAAAAAATTTAAACTTTATCTGCTTTTGCTATTTCCACCAGCAGTTCTGTCTTAGCTCATGTCATCTAAGCTAATTATCATCCTGACCAAGGAAGACAGGAGTTGTATTACAACACATCTAGATTACATCAGGTCAGGGTAGTGTGATATAAAAGCTTTAAAAGAAAGCATCAGCTTTTTATGTCAGAGACACCTGATGTTTGTAATCTTTGAAAACTTTTGGACTCCTCTTAGAAGGATCACAACAGTCTAATTCTTAAAGTGACAGAAATGTAAAATTATTAAATATGCGATAGAGAGTAATCGTTATATTTTTGATAAATAAAATTGAGTATAGTCCCCGGTATATCAATCATAGGCCAAATGCAGCCACCCACAGTCTGGAAAAAACTGTGAACCTTCCATGAAACCCATACATACGTGTTATGTCCCACCTTCTAAAAATAAACAGTTAAGGCTGAAAGCAGC